TCGGCCAGGGTCGAGTCTGTACACACTCGCTACCGAGAATCCTCAGGTAGCTGCGTATGCTTAGGTATCCGCGTCAGGTCAGGTAGCTGCCTCTTGCTCGTGTCGCCTCCTGTCGCACCAGACTCTTCTGTGGCACCACCGCCTAAGTCACCCCTCCCTGCCACGCCTTCGTGGCATGCACTCCCGTCTTCTAGTCTCTAGTCTACCCAGGTCTCTGCCTCCCCTCCCGCCCTCGCCTGCCCCGCCCTGCCTTCCGTGCGTCGAGGGGCGGTAGCGCGCCGCTCCTCACTCCTCCTCGTTTCCCCCGACGACTGCTCCACTGCAGACACTCCGCATGGACGTGTGGGGCCCAGCGCGCGTCAGTGGACAGGGCCGCGAGTGGTAGTTTCTGCTGGTAGTTGACGACTACACGCGGTACACCACAGTCTTCCCCTTGCGCAGCAAGGGTGAAGTCATTAATGTCTTGATCCCTTGGATCCGCACAGTCCGTCTCCAGCTTCGCGAGCGGTTCGGCCAGGACCTTCCTGTCCTGCGTCTGCACTCTGACAGAGGTGGTGAGTTCTCCTCCGACCTCTTGCGGGACTTTTGTCGTGGGGAGGGCATTCTCCAGTCGTTCACGCTTCCGGACTCCCCTCAGCAAAATGGGATTGCTGAGCGCCATATTGGCTTAAGCATGGAGGTCGCTCGTACCTCCATGATCCATGCGGCTGCTCCCCATTTTCTGTGGTCGTTTGCGGCCCCATACGCTGCGCATCAGCTCAACCTCTAACCCCGTGTCTCCTTGCCGGAGACCTCGCCCACACTGCGTTGGACGGGGGAGGTTGGCAACGCGTCGGTGTTCTGGGTCTGGGGTTCTCGTGCCTTTGTTCGCGATACGTCCGCGGACAAGCTCTCCGCCCGTGCAATCCCCTGTGTCTTCCTTGGCTTTGTCCCTGACGCGCCTGGCTGGCAGTTTTACCACCCCACCACGCACCGTGTCCTCCTGTCTCAGGACATCACGTTTGACGAGTCAAGTCCCTTCTACCGTCTCTTCCCCTACCGCTCTGCCCCTCCCCCGCCCCCGCCGCTCTTCCTTGCTCCTGGTCCCCCTTCGGTAGACCCCCTCCCGCCCCAGGGTCCTGCTCCCTCCGTTGTGTCTCAGGTAGACCCTCTCCCTGGTACTGCCCCTGTCGAGGTAGCTGTCGGCTCAGGTGCTGCTCAAGGTGTTGTGTCTGGGGGTGCTGCGTCTGGGGGTGCGGAGCCGGGGGGTGCAGGGTCTGAGGATGCTGGGTCTGGGGGTGCTGAGCCTGGGGGTTAGGAGCCCGGGGGTGCTGAGCCTAAGGGTGTTGAGCCTGAGGGTGCTGAGTCGGAGGGTGCGGAGTCTGGGGGTGCTGAGCCTCGGGGTGGTGCTTCGTCTGGAGGTCCTGCTGGTGCTTCGCCGCGACTGTCTCCGCAGCAGCTGCGTGAGTGGCTTGTTCGGCGCGCGCGCCTTTGGACTGGAGCTCCCGGAGCTGGAGGCGCTGGAGACGCTGGAGCTGGAGGTAGTGGAGTTTTCTGCTGGAGCTGGTGGTACTGGAGGTACTGCAGCTGCTGGTCCTGGAGGTGCTCGTACGAGGGGTACTGGAGCTGCCAGGACTGGTGGTGTTGGGGGCGCTGGAGCTTGAGACACTACACAGCCTGGAGCTGCTGGAGCTGGAGGCTCTTGTGCAGGTGGAGCTGGCGCTGGAGGAGCTGGAGTTGGAGGCACTGGCGCGAGAGGCACTAGAGCTGCAAGAGCTGGAGCTGTTGACCCTGGAGCTGGAGGTGCTGGAGGCACTGTGCTGCCGCGACCGTACTTCGTTCCCCTGCTTCATCCGGATCTTAGTGTCCCGTCTTCTACTCGCCCTACTCCTCCCTTACTGTGTCCACCGCCTGACCAGTCGCAGCCGCCGTTACAGCCAGCCTCCCCACTGCCTGCTCCTTCTCCTTACACTGAGAAGTCCGGCGGTCTTACAGAGCGTCGTGAGCCTGCGTCTCCTCCTGTCTCGCCTGTTCGCACTGCTCGTCGCGCTCCTTGTTGCGTCCTCCTCTTGTCCCCGGCACGCACGCTATGGCACTCCGTCCTTCCTCTGTTCCACTGCGTGTTCCTCTGCCTGCTCCTCCTGAGTCCTCTCTTCCTGAGGTCCCAGACCCTGAGTCTGACCGCGCTCGTGCTGCAAGTCCCACTATCTCTCGTCTCCTCGCCATTGTTATCACTGACCCTTCTTTTTAGTCTGCGGCTGCGTCTGCTCTCATTGCTGAGCTGCTTGACTTTGCTGCTGCATATCGTCTAGACTACGCCACTGCTCTAGTTGCTGAGTCTTCGTCTGCCAGTCCTCCGTCCGTCGGGGGTGAGTGTGCTCTTGGCACGGACATCCTTGAGGACAGGCAGGAGGACTTTGAGTGTCTTGCAGCTGCTGTACCTCGTTTCGCTTCCATGCTGCTTGCCCCTGAGGGAGACCCGGATGCACCAGACATCCCGACCCCGCGCTCTTACGCAGAGGCGATTACGGGTCCTTACTCCTCTCAGTGGCAGGCAGCCATGGATGACGAGATGGCATCCTGGAAGTTCACAGGCACCTACGTCGACGAGGTTCCCCCACCTGGGGCGAACATAGTCGATAGCATGTGGATCTTCAGGGTGAAGCGGCCGCCGGGTTCTCCGCCTGCCTTCAAGGCGCGTTACGTTGCTTGGGGCTTCAGTCAGCGACAGGGAGTTGACTACTTCCAGACCTTCTCCCCCACCCCGAAGATGACTACTCTTCGGGTGTTGCTGCACGTCGCTGCTCAGCGTGACTACGAGTTGCACTCTCTGGACTTCAGCACAGCTTTCCTGCAGGGCAGCCTGCACGAGGAGATCTGGCTGCGCCGCCCACCTGGCTTCACTGAGTCTTTTCCTGCAGGTACTCAGTGGAGTCTTCGGCGGCCAGTCTACGGTCTCCGCCAGGCGCCTCGCGAGTGGCACGACACACTGAGGACTACACTTGCGGCTTTTGGGTTTTCTCTTGCTACTGCTGACACGTCGCTGTTTCTACGCACCGACGCCTCACTGCCTATGTTCTACGTCCTCGTCTACGTCGACGACCTCGTCTTTGCCACTGCTGATACTGAGGCACTGACCCTTGTGAAGTCGGAGCTGCAGAAGAGACACACCTGCACTGACCTGGGTGAACTGCGCAGCTATCTTGGCTTGCAGATCACCCGGGACAGAGCTCGGTGCACCATTACCCTGACTCAGTCACACATGGTGCACCAGGTCCTTCAGCGCTTCAGCTTCCAGTTCTCCTCGCCACAGCCCACTCCTCTGTCTACCAGCCACTCGCTCTCAGCTCCACCTTCGGACGAGTCCTTAGAGCCGAGTGGTCCGTACCCAGAGCTTGTGGGTTGCCTCATGTACCTGATGACGTGCACTCGACCTGGCCTCACGTACCCTCTCAGCCTTCTGGCTCGTTACGTGGCTCCCGGCAGGCACCAAAAGGTGCACTGGGATGCTACGAAGAGGGTACTGCGTTACTTGTGCAGTATGTCGGGCATGGGGCTGTCGTGTTTGTCCTTGTTGTCGTGCTGTATTTCGTCGAGTCAAAGGTCAGCGACCTTTGACCTTCGCGTAACCTCCAGCTGTTACGTTTTGTTAACCTCCTTGTTTGACTCGCCTGTTGCTTCACTGTAGTCTGTTTCGCTCGTGTTATGAGTTCGATACTTCAGAAGCGTCAACTATGTGTTTCGAACAAAGTGAAGGTCAAAGGTCAGCGACCTTTGACTCGCCGAAAAGCAGCGCGACAGCAAGGACACATAACTGACTCGCTATTGAGCAGTTACCCGAGTCGTCGCTGTATCGAACCGCAACAGTAGTTAGAGTTAGTTAAACCTTTCATATTCCTTTGTAATCATATAAAGCTTTGTATCTCTTTGCTATTATCAGCTTATCTTGTTCTCACATGCCAGTGCAAGGTGGTTCAATCAGTTCACTAAGACGCTTCCGCTAATACTTCATTACTCTAAGTCTTAGTCTTGAAAAACGATCCTAAGGGCTTTTCTCAGCCCAACACAGCTGATAGTAGATTCCCCTTTCTTTTTGTTCCAACACCCCTGATGCCACGTGTGTGTGATCAGGAAGGACGTCAAGCTGGTGTGGGTGAAGTTCTCAGTGAAGGCGTCGAAGCTGGAGGGCGAGATGCCGCTCACCAAGACGCACATCCACGTGGGCGTCACGGGGCAGAACCACCACGTGCTGCTCGACCTGCCGTGCAAGTACGAGAAGAAGAGCAACAATGACTGGCGCTGCGAGGGCGTGATTGAACAGGAGCAGAAGCTCTCGGACTCGCAGGTGTCGGATTTCATGAAGATCGCTCATCAGCCGAGTGGGTTCTACGGGAATATCCACACCAAGAAGTGCCCTGACGGTGCCGTGCGCGGTCAGTTCTCCAGAAAGTAACGGGTCCAGTTGAGATAGAGAATGGCATAAGAATGAGGAGGTACAAGTGAAAAGAGCAGTGAATAAGGATCATGTGGGGCACTAGAGAAGAATGGAGTGAAGGTGAAGCAAGTCGTTGCTCCCTTAGGCAGTGCTGATGGTGGCCCCAATGATCAGAATAAGCAGCCGTTGTGCTTTGCTCTGCTAATTGACACTGCTCTTCTAGAGAGTGCAATGCTAATGGAAAAAGGGAATCCACTCTTACTGTACATTTTCACACACTCTGTCTTGCTCAGGCATAACTCATTGCTGTGCCCCGCTTGGGTGCTGCGGAACCATCTTGCCACATTGTATAATGCCTCAGATTCTTCATCACGCTACTGCCGTCAACATTGCTCATCAACTGCTCACATAGTGGTATTACGGTGCATTCATTTGCCATATAAATGAAAGAATGGTTTCGCACACTGCCGGATGTCTGTAGAATAGAGCTGAAGTCTGGCTTTATTTACCATTGCTCCACGCCCAAACACAACCGCTCTCCACTCCAAATCCATCTTCTCTGCCCCACCTGCTTCCCCACCTGCCCTCACTCCTGCTCCCCCTCCTCCTCCCTCTCGCCTGCATCCTCCCTCACCACCAGCACATCCCCCTCTGTACCTTCCTCCCCACTCACCCTACCACCGTCACGCAAGCTGAGACCCAGTCTTCCTCCCATGCCCTTCTCCCCTCCCCAATGCACATGCCTTGCTGACGGCCCTCCTCCCTCTTCACCTGCATTCTCCTGTCCCCGCATCCCTTCCCCCTTCACACCCTTCCCTCCCTTGTGCTCTGAACCGCCTCCACCACCGTCTTCCTTCACTCTTACAGCACCACCATCCCTCCCTCTTCCCGCAACACCAGAAGCTTCCCTGCTTGCAGCACCCCCAACCCCACCACCAGCAGAAGCCGCAGGCAGCAGGGCAAGGTTCCGTTGAGAGCGGGCGGCAGCAGCCAGGGCAGCAGCGGCAGCCTGGGCTCGCAGGCTCTCCACCACCAGCCTCACCGCCTTCCTCCACCTCTCCCTCGGGGACACCCTCCCTGCCCACCTCCTCTGCCCCTCCCTCACCCCTCGCCTCTCCCCCCGCTCCCTCTCCCCTCGCTCCCTCCCCATCCCTCCCTCCTCCCCGTTCACTCCCCCCTCAACACCACTCCCCTCCTGCCCATTCATCCCTTCGCCATGCCCTTCCATCCTCCCAGCATCATGCTCTGGGCCTGGTTGCAGGTACAAGTGCCGTACAGAGTCCATAGCAGCCAGCATGGACGCGAGGTTCACCCTCTCAGTCGCCTCTGCCTGCTGCTGCACCGTGTCCCCCATGGCCAGTGCGTCTGGGTCTAGAGCTGCCAGGATGCGGGCGGCGCGGTCCCGGGCAGCTTGGGTGGCTTCCGGGGTGAGGGAGGCGACGGAGGGGCGGGAGGAGGAGGAGGAGAAGCGGCGGGAGAGGCGGAAGGAGGGCAGGCCGAAGTGACCCCACGTGGTGACGCTGGTGTGCACTGGCTTGGCGTCTATCAGGTGCGCTCGGGTTATTAGCCCCGCCTGCATGAGAACAGATGTGGGCAAGGGGAGGAGAGGGGATGGAGATGGGGGAAGAGGTGGGAGTGCGGGTATGTATAGTTGCGAAATCGCCGCTAGGCACAGCACAGAGGTACTGGCATGGCATAGGGTGGCATGGCATGGGATGGGATAGGATGGGATGGGATGGGAGGGATTCGAAGGGATGCGAAGGGATGCAAAGGATTACTGTGGTGACGCTGCCGTTTACTGATGCAGGAAGGGGAATGGAAGTTGTTTCGCCTAATGACTAACACTGTAATGAATGGCTGGTGGCATGGCATGGCTGGTGGCACATGGCATGGCATGGCATGGCATGGCATGGCATGGCATGGCATGGCATGGCATGGCATGGCATGGCGTGATGTATGGATTGCAGGTGGATGGCGTCTCACCGGCTGGCCTGTGCTGTCCACCACACACACGTACGTCAGGTTGAGCTGCGGGCAGGGGTGGGGAGAGAGGAAGTGGGCGGATGAGGAAGGGAAGTTACAATGTGGCGCCTGCGAGGGAAACCATAAAGACTGGCATGAGTTCAAACAGAGACCCAACAGGGGCCCGGCACAACTGAACTCATACGGCACAGCAGGTCACTCGCATGAGAAACGGCCTGGCACATGTGGGTGGATCACCTGATGGCACGTGCAACTGACCTCGAGGCCCATGCATCTCATTTTGAGACGTGCAACTGACCTCGAGGCCCATGCATCTCATTTTGAGACGTGCAACTGACCTCGAGGCCCATGCATCTCATTTTGAGACGTGCAACTGACCTCGAGGCCCATGCATCTCATTTTGAGACGTGCAACTGACCTCGAGGCCCATGCATCTCATTTTGAGACGTGCAACTGACCTCGAGGCCCATGCATCTCATTTTGAGACGTGCAACTGACCTCGAGGCCCATGCATCTCATTTTGAGACGTGCAACTGACCTCGAGGCCCATGCATCTCATTTTGAGACGTGCAACTGACCTCGAGGCCCATGCATCTCATTTTGAGACGTGCAACTGACCTCGAGGCCCATGCATCTCATTTTGAGACGTGCAACTGACCTCGAGGCCCATGTATCTCATTTTGAGACGTGCAACTGACCTCGAGGCCCATGCATCTCATTTTGAGACGTGCAACTGACCTCGAGGCCCATGCATCTCATTTTGAGACGTGCAACTGACCTCGAGGCCCATGCATCTCATTTTGAGACGTGCAACTGACCTCGAGGCCCATGCATCTCACCTTGCGGGGGAAGACGCGTGTGCATCTCACCTTGCGCATGAGGGGGAAGACGCGTGTGCATCTCAAAAACAACCTCGCTACACGTGTGCATCTCACCTTGCGCTACACGTGTGCATCTCACCTTGCGCATGAGGGGGAAGACGCGGAGGATGGGCATGCAGAGGGGCACGTGGAAGGGGAAGGGGTCCATGATTGCCGTCACATCTAATAGCACCTCCGCCTCACCCCCTCCCACCACCGCTCCCACCGCCGCTCCCACCGCCCCCCTGCTGCTCTCCGTCTCCCCGCCTCTCACCACCGCCCTCTCCTCCCCCCTGCTGCTCTCCCCGGCCACATCTTTCCTCACCTCCCCTTCTGCCCTCTCTCCAACCTCTCGTGTCTCTCCGCCCCCTCCTTCCACCTCGCAATCCTTCCCCCCTTCCTCTGCAACCTGCTGCTGCTGGAAGGGCGCTACTCCTTGCGTCGCTGTGCCCCACGCGTCAGAAGCTGCATCTGAGGCAGCAGTAGCAAAGGCAGCATCTGAGACAGCAGCAGCAGCAGCAAAGGCAGCACCCCGGGCAGCAGCAGGAGCAGATGGAGGAGGGGTGGCGGCAAGAGCAGGAGGGCGAGGGGGAAGAGGGCTGAGACTGCCTGTGCTACTGAGCTGCCAGCTACTGCCGTCAGCACTGCCTGCGAGGCCTCCTGCACGCCCATACCCATGCACATGCGCATTCCCATGTCCATGCCCATGCCCATACCTATGTCCATACCCATGCCCATGCACATGCCCCATGCCATGCCCATGCCCACGATACACATCAGTACTGAACGCATGCTTCACCCCACCACTCACGCTGCCTCCTTGCACAGATTCAGCAGCCGAGCCAGCAGCAGCACTGCCACCAGCAGCACCCCCAACAGCACCACCAGCAGCAGCCCCTGCAGTGGCAGCGACAGCAGGAGCGCTGTGCACGGACGGCACAGCCGCCCAGAGTGCGTCTTCCGCCGCCCACTGCTGGTCCGCCAGCCTGGCGTTGGTCTCCATGGCCAGCAGAGTGCGGTCCAACAGCCGCTCCTCGCCCTCCCTCCGCACCATCTCCCTCATCCGCCTCTCCTCTCCCGTCTCGCTGTCATCGTGGCACGTCAGAAGCGCCTGAGCAAGTTCCTCGGTGTACCGGTGGCCTCTTCGTCTCTCTCTCCTCACACGCCGCTGGGCCTCTGTTTCCCACTCGTGGCTCTCACCTTCTTCCGCCTCCTCCTCCTCCTCCTCCTCCTCCTCTTCCTCCCGCTCTTCCCCATCCTCTTCCTCGTCCTTCCCTTCTCCTTTCGCTTCCTCCATTCCGTCTGCCCTCCTCCCCTCCTCCATCCTCGCATCACCCCCCTCCTCCGTTCCAACTCTCGCTTTCCTCGTCCACGGAACCCGCTTCATTACACCACTAAACCGCAACCCTGCCATCCGTCCCAGTCGTGCCAGACTGCCCCCACCACCACCCACAGCACCAGTAGGACCAGCAGGGCCTGCAGCAGCAGCAGCCGCACAAGGCGAATCACGTCTGACACCAACGCCGGCACCACCATCACTGCCACCACCACCACCAGCAGCACCAGAAGCAGCCGCACCAGCAGCGGTGGCGGCAGCGGCAGCAGCATCACAGGTCTGGTTATGAGCAGCGAGCAGCGCAAGCAGCCTGGTCCGACTAACCACCCCTTTCAGCCCGCCCTCCGCATCCACCACCATGAGCGCCGGCGAGAAGCAGCCGATCAGCGCCGCCCGCACGAGCGACGGCGTCTCCATCTCTCTGAGCTGTGCCACGTGGCGGTCCATGAGGTGCCGCGCCAGCAAGCCCTGGTGGCGCGCGTGAGGCTTGTCCTGCAGGAAGGGAATCTTCTTGATTGACAGGAGCACCTCATCGTAGCTGCGACCCAGCAACTGCGCGACTGCCTTGGCCACCCCTATGCTGGAGAGTGGGGGCGGCAGGAGGAGAGGTGCAGAGGAGAGGGGTGTGAGTTGTAGGCTTGTCCTGCAGGAAGGGAATCTTCTTGATTGCCAGCAGCACCTCGTCGTAGCTGCGACCCAACAGTTGTGCCACTGCCTTGGCCACCCCTATGCTGCAACCGTGGGAGGGGGCGATAGGAGGAGATAGGGTTGCGAGACAGTGAGGGGATCTTCTTGATTGCCAGCAGCACCTCGTCGTAGCTGCGACCCAACAGTTGTGCCACTGCCTTGGCCACCCCTATGCTGGAGAGAGGGCGCAGCAGGAGGAGAGGTGCAGAGGAGAGGGGTGCGAGTTGTAGGCTTGTCCTGCAGGAAGGGAATCTTCTTGATTGCCAGCAACACCTCGTCGTAGCTGCGGCCTAAGAGCTGCGCGACTACCTTGGCGACCCCTATGCTGCACGGAGGAAAAGAGGAGAGATGGGGAGGAGAGACAGAGATGAGGGAATGGAGAAGCGATGTGGCACGTGCGGCTTGTCCTAACAGCTGTGCTACTGCCTTGGCCGCTGCTATGCTGCGATGGTCTGAGGGACGGCGTGGAGAAGGAGAATGTGGAGAGGGAGAATGTGGAATGGGATGGGGAGAGGATCAAGATAGGAATGTGGCGATTGGGATCGTCTATAGGGATGGGGAGGGATATTTACGTGTGTGGGTGGGTTGTCTGGAGGGGCGATTTTGTGGCATACAATGTGAATGCGCCATGCAACGTGCGCCAGTGTGGATAGAGGGCATGGGTAGTGATGGGTGCACGTACCCACAGAGGATGGGAAGCAGAAGGCTGATGTCCCCTGATGCCTCCATTAGCATCACCTGCATACCGACACACGCATGCACGCGAGCACACGCGAGTGCGCGAGCGCACACACACACATATGCAGCAGAGGAAGAACAGTTACTGCATGGAGCAGAGAGATGGCAGCACAGCACCCACGCCAGAGCACTTCCTGCGCAGCACTCACGGCAAGCGAGATGGTACGGAGCATACACCGCCCAGGCACATAGAGGACCCCACATGCGCATCAATGGTATCTAAAGTCTCTCGAAAACCGCCCGCAGCACTCACAGCAAGCGAGATGGTGAGGTGCGTGTACCCCGCCAGGCATGCAGCCGACCCCACATGCGCATAGATGCTGGGCTCGGCAAACTGCTCCGGCAGCGCAGCATGCAGCGCCATGCCGTACAGCCGCCCCAGCGCCGCCCCGTAGAGCAGCTGGGGGATGAACTGCCCGCTGGGCACCGCCAGGCCTGATATGGACGCTGCAAGAAGTGAGTAGGCGATGAGGAACACGGCCACCACGCCTGCAGGGAACACCCGTGCGGTGATGGCCTCCCCGGTGGCGGTGGTGCTGGCCGTGTCGCCCATGAGGTGCTTGACCGCGCCCTCCTCCCCGCGCAGCAGCAGTGTGGCGAGCTCGTTGTAATGGCCTGCAGGGCAGTCGTACTGCACCAACACCACGTGCCCCTCTGCTCCCTCTCCGTGCCCCTCCGTTGCTCCACTGTGTCCCCCTGCCTCCGTGCTGGCACTTGCTGCTGCTGCTGCTGCTGCTGCTGGTGGTGTCTCTGGTGCTGCTGTTTCTGCTGGTGCTTCTGGTGCTGCTGGTGGCGCTGTTGCTTCAACTATACTACCTATACTGCCTGCCGCTGCTGCTGATGCGCGTGCTGCTTTGACCCGAGGGACCAGCATTCCTAGTGATGCCGATGCTCTCGGTTTCACCGGTGCAGCAGATGCGTTTGCTGATTCAGCAACATACCACGTGGGGGAAAACGACACGTGTGCAGTGGTTGCAGCACTGGAGTGAGACGCGGGGGGAGCAGCAGGCGCAGAGGCGCTGGGAGCAGGGAGGGAGATGCAGGGGGACATGGCCGGGAGGAGGTGGAACAGCAGCGACACCACCAGCGCACTTACAGCGGCATCTATAATCTTCACAGCCTTACGCCGCCTCCAAGTCTCTGTCCGTCTCGCTCTCAGCACCTTGAGGGACAGTACAGTGTAGAGCCGACTGAGCAGCCCCCCTAGAACACCCAGGAGAAGGAACGGGCCTACGTCCTTGGCCGTCCAGGAAATGGTTACTGGGTTTAGGACGAATAGAAGGAAGGCTTCGTATGTGATTATACCGGCCATGGCCTCGACAAGGAGGACTAGAACGAGTGTGCTTATCGTGGCGGAAACGAAGGATTTGAAGGTGGCTTCGGTGGACCAGAAGGAGGAGACTTCTTCGAACATGAACAGTACTCCGCCGATTGGTGCTTTGAATGCCGCCGCAACGCCCGCCGCGCCGCCGTACGTCACGAACGCGCGCTGCTCGTCGCGGTCTTGCCACGCCACCGCCGCGCCGCCGTGATGCCCCCCGCTGCCGCTGCTCGCGCTGGGCTTTCCCCCGCGCGCGCGGCCTGTTTCTCTCCGCGGCTTATCCGAGTGCTTCTTTCCGTCCGCGTGCGCGTGCAGGCCGATCAGCGGGAGGTGCACGAGCGCAACGGCGATCCCCGCGCCGATGTGCGCCATGGGCCCCTCGCGGCCCACGGGCATGCCCGCCGCCACGACGAGCAGCAGCCCCAGGATCTTGACGACCGTCGTGCGCAGCTCAAAAAACCCCGGAATGGTGTTTCCGTTAAGGAATCCCTTTATCTCGGGGACGCCCGAGCCGTTCGCGAGCGGCGCGACGTTGACCGTTAGAACGGCCGCCAGGCCGACAAGCGCGGCTTGGACGAGCGCCATGAGGAGCGACGCGACGAACACGCGGGAGAAGGGAACACGCGCCGTGGCGTGAGCGCCTAGGAGCGTGTCGTTGAGAGTGTAGAGCAGGTCGAAGAACTCGACGATGGCGGTGGCGAGCAGCCATGAGAGCGCGCCGATGGTGACTCCCGCGAGCAGCACCAGCCCCCACAGGCGCAGCGACCGCACCCGCGCCGCGGACTTCTCGTTGCGAAGCTTCGTGTCTGCTTCGCCGCCTATTAGTCTGGATTCCGCGGACGCGAGAGCGTCCGTGGAGGAGTCTCCGGATGCTCTCTCGCCGCTGCCGCGTCTGCGCCACAGGCGTGGTCGGAACCTCACCGCCATGTGCTGGCACGCGCGGGACGTTCCTATTGAAAGATACGCATCATAAGGACTTCGTTACTGACAATGCGAGGGTTTCCCGCTGTCATGGTCGCGAGTTGGTCGACTCAAAAGTACGCATGTCTCTGGCCTGGATGACTCTGTATGAGCGTAGGGAGTTGTCCGAGACCTGATTGAACTGGTGGTACATAGATTTCCTGCAGCATGTCTCTGCTTGTTTGGTCCGCTGAATCCAGATGCAGAGAGCGAGCAGCGAGTTCACGCCGCAAGGCCCCACGGACGGTTATGATCGGCAGAGATCTCCCAGTGCTCCCAGAGACCGCCGTGCCGTGGGCTCCGCAGATTCTGACTTTTGCTGCGGAAATTCTCATGGCGGCGGAAATCTCAAGGTGGTCCCCCACGGCCATCCATCGATTACTCCTCGGCCCTCTGGATCTCCAAGATGTGTCAGAAGTGTGTCAACGGATGGCGTCCGCTTTTCGGCCGCACTGTCATACGAATGAAGAGGGCCGTCAGATCTGTGCGAATCGATGTGCTTCGCGAGCTGTAGTGGGCTGTAACGAGTTTTATCACAACCGACCTGTTCAAATTGTCAGCCTAAAACTTGTTACAGGCTGATCTAATCCTTAGGCTTGTTAGGTGTGTTTCCTCAGGTCACATGGCTATGGCCATTCCAATCAGCTCAGCTCTTCTATTTTGGGATGCTTGAAAATTAAACGAAGACTTTGCACTTATTCACAGCAAAATGCACTACCATCAATAGCATCAGGCAGCACCTTATTGAAAGGTCATCAAGGGGCGAGCAATACAGCACAAGCGACTGCCAGCAGCAGACGCACCAACACAGCTACGGCCCCTTTACGACCAATGGACGAGGCAGCACTGTAGGGAAGCACAAGCGGCGCCCTGCCACTTGAACCGGACCCACCATCCACCAAGTTCAACGGGCCACCATTGCCATTTGGGTCATTACCAGAAAACCCGTTTGCAGCAGGATTCAAAGAGGGGTTTACACCATTCGAGCCCGCACTTTGTGCTGGGTTTTGTGAGGGAAGATTGGCGCCTGGGACATTCAGGTCCGGTAATGGGCCTCCTTGATTCGGGTTGGCTCTGTTGGCGCTTCCAGCCAGCCCCGTAATGAGGGAGGCCAGCCAATCAGAGCTCTCCGGAAAGGCCTCTGCAGCAGCTGCTGCTGTGTCTGCTGCGGCAGCAGCAGCATCTATGGGGTCTGTGGTCTGTGCTGCTGAGTGTAAGATCTGGGAGCCTGCAGTATGATGGGTGATTGGGGAGAGGGGATAGGTGTACATGCATGAGTTTAGAAGAGCCTCGAAGGTCTGCGCTGCTGAGTGTAGGATCTGGGAGCCTGCAGTACATCGGGCAATGTGGGAGGGGGAAGGGGGATGCATGAGATGGATGGGTACAGAGGAGTGGATGGGCACCGGAGGGGTGGGATCTGCACAAGCTAGTTCCAAGAGGATACAGGGGAAGGCTCAGGCAGCACAAGCAGGGTGATGCTGCACAGCACAATGCTGGCAAGCAGTGGGTCCATGGAATGGCAGATGGTATAGTGCTGGGCTTGGACAATGGGATTGGAAGGCCGTGGCATGCGGTGCAGAGCAGTGGGATGACACAGCGCAACACACAGCAACAAGGAAACAGAAATCTTGCTGTAGAATCCAAAAGCTGACACACGGAGCCCAAAGTTTTTCAAAACTGACATCCAAAACACTGAATCCGGCTGTAGAAGCCAGTATGTGTGGCGCGTCAGTGGGTGAGGCGATTCGAAGGGTGTGAGGAGGGGCAAGGCGTGAGGGGGGGCAAGGGGTGAGGCGGGGCAAGGGGTGAGGCGGGGCAAGGGGTGAGGCGGGGCAAGGGGTGAGGCGGGGCAAGGGGTGAGGCGGGGCAAGGGGTGAGGCGGGGCAAGGGGTGAGGCGGGGCAAGGGGTGAGGCGGGGCAAGGGGTGAGGCGGGGCAAGGGGTGAGGTGGGGCAAGGGGTGAGGCGGGGCAAGGGGTGAGGCGGGGCAAGGGGTGAGGCGGGGAAAGGGGTGAGGCGGGGCAAGGGGTGAGGCGGGGCAAGGGGTGAGGCGGGGCAAGGGGTGAGGCGGGGCAAGGGGTGAGGCGGGGCAAGGGGTGATTCAGGTAGTGGTACACAGAGCGGAAATCTACTGCTGTTTTTTCCTTTGCTGTTTTTTCCTTTGCTTTAAGCCTCCTGCACGCACGCAGCTCACTGAGCTATGTCTGGATCTCGCAGGGCAAGGGGTGATTCAGGGTGGGAGAGGAGGGCTCACATTGGGAGGGCAGCCAGCGCACGGTGTTGGCCTCCACGTCAAACTCCACCAGCAAATTGCGCAGCGCCAGGTCTACAAGGGAGGGAAGCACAGCAGGGAGAGGGATTAGGGCAAGATTGGTAAGAGAGGGGGACAGAGTGCACCCCTGTTGGCCTCCACGTCAAACTCCACCAGCAGATTGCACAGCGCCAGGTCTGGGGAGGACGCACACCGGGGAGAGACTTTATTAGGGCGAAGCTGGTGAGAGTTTGGAGATTGGTGAAATGGGGAGTGACCAAGTGAAGAACAGCTTGCCACCCAGGATCTCCTTCGCCTAGCCTTTGGCAGAGGAAGTAGTAGTCGTACAGAATAGGGCAGTGCGGTTGAGTATGGAAACAAAACAGAAATTGAAACAGAAACAGAAAGGAAACAAAACAGAAACAGAAGTGAGTATGGAAGAATTTCATCCATTCCCTCAACTCAATCTTTTGCTCCCCTCCCCTCATCTCCACCTCCCCTGTCATCCCCCACCCCTCACATCAACTCCCATCCATCCCATCCCTCCGCCACCCACCCTCGTCTTCCCCTACCTCTCCCCTCCGCTCCCACCCTTTTTCTCCTCTCCTCCCACCCCACCCCTCCTCCCACCCTCCTCTTCTCCTCTCTCCCCTCCTCGCTTCCGCTCGAACCCCCCATCCCCCCCTCCCTTCTTTCCACTCACCACCCAGCACAGCAAGGGAGGAGTCAGGGCCAGCGCTCTGCCACGCAATGCACGGCACCTCGAAGCCCTGGGGGGGAGGGGAAAGGGGGCAATGGGTGGGCGGAAGAGGATGTGTGGACGGAGGAGAATGGGTGGGCGGAAGGGAATGGGTGGGCGGAAGGGAATGGGTGGGCGGAAGGGAATGGGTGGGCGGAAGGGAATGGGTGGGCGGAAGGGAATGGGTGGGCGGAAGGGAATGGGTGGGCGGAAGGGAATGGGTGGGCGGAAGGGAATGGGTGAATGCGTACAGCAGTGGTGGCGAGCAGCAGGATGTAGTTTTCGGGCGGCAGCACCATGCGAGCCCCGGTGCCGAATGTGAGAGTCAGGTCCGGGAAGAGGTAGCGCGCCCGCGGCCAGGGAAGCCTGTGGGTGGGTGGGGGGGTTGAAAAAGGGGAGGGCGGGGGGAGGGGGGAACACGGGGGAAGGAGAGAGGGTGAGGGAAAACAGGGAGAGAGGAGACAGCAGGGAGGGAAGGGATGGCAGGGAGGGAGGCGCGGAACGATGAGGGAGAGTACCGCGGATGGTGCGAGGCGAGAGCGAGGGAAGATGGTAACATAGGAGACATGGAAGGATTGGGGGGTTGGGAGAGCGAAAGGGGCTGGGGAGGTTGTGGCGGCGAGGGCTGTAGCGCACCTGCCGCCCCCCCGGTTGTAGCAGAAGTGGCCCTCCGTATGGGCGAAGGAGGAAGGAGACATGGAGATACAAGGAGGGGCAGCCATAGGAAGAGAGGTAGGACAGTAACACACCTGCCGTCCCCCAGGTTGTAGCAGAAATGGCCCTCCGTCTGGGCGAAGGCGAGTAGCGGCAAGTCAATGGCTTGCACCAGCTGGGGGGAAAGGGTCGGGTGGGGGGGAGGGCACAGGGGAAAGGGGGCCGGGGACGAGGTAAGGGGGCGGGGAAAAGGGCAAGGGGGAAGGAGGAAGGGGACAGGACCACGGGGGCAGGGGGAAGGAAGAGCGTAGAAGTGATAAGTGAACGGGCAAGCAGTGCCCACAGAGGGAGCAGCCACGGGGCATTGATGCAGGGTTGCTCATTCTCAGGATTCTCAAACAATTCCGAATTAACCTGCAAGTCGCGGCGCATTGATGCATGTATAGTGAGTGTGATGGAGCGAATCTTGAGGCGACCCAAGAATTAGGTCGGGGGAGGGCGGCACTCACGGCGGCAGTAAGAGTTTGATAGAGCGAGTCTGGCAGGTATGTGAGCGACGTGCCACTGTCCAACACGCACGGCACCATCCCTGCCGACTCTGAGCCTACTGATGCCGAGCCTGGAGATGCCGAGCCTGACGATGCCGAGCCTGTGGCATTGCCTGCTGGCGCAGCAAGCGAGGAGGTGGTTTGGGCGGCAGCAGCAGCAGCGGCTTCAGCATCTCTGGCAGCAGCAGCAGCGGCGGCGGCAGGGACGGCAGCGGCGGCGGCGGGTTGCCAGGCAATGGGCACACCGGCGATGGCGATGCCTGCCAGGCCGATCATATACTGCGTGCTGCCGTGCGCAGGAAGGGGAGAGGGAGGGAGGAGGGCTAGTTTTTAAGGGTGCCTCTAGGGATGGGTTGCTGCCAGTCGATGGGCACACCGGCGATGGCGATGCCCGCCAGGCCGATCATGTACTGCGTGCTGCCGTGCGCAAGGGGGGGGGAGGAGGGAGAAGGAAGGTGTGGGGAGGGGGAGAGAGAGGGGCAGCGGGGGTGGATTGTTTTCCAGGACGGGGGACGGAGGGACGAAGGGGTGGCGACACGGGTGGACATGGGCGGCAAGGGCCATGCACGGGAAAAGAGAGTGTGCTTTTGAGGTCCCTCAAACGGAAGGGCGATGCACGACGGCCAGGGATGAGTGGGATGGTGGATGTGCCCTCCACGAGGAGAGGGGGAGAGGGAGGGAAAGAGTGTGGGAAGTTTGGGAGAGAGAGTGAGTGGGAGAGATTGAGGGCGAGAGAGCAAGAGCGCGAGCCGCCCGCCTGTCGGGTTCGTGCCACGGCGCACGCACACACCGCGCACACCCCCTACCTCCCCTGCCCCCTCCCTCCCACGCCCCGCACGCCCCCCACTCCCTCACCCACCTCACGCCCCGCACGGCCGTCAGCGGGAGCAGCATACCTGTCGGGTTTGTCCCACAGAGCCGTTTGCTGCCACACGCCGCGCACGCCGCTCAGCGCCCCCGCAGACGACACGCGCCCGAGGAACAGCGCGCCACCGCCCTCCGGCCCGCCCAGGCAGTGCGCGAATGCGTGCGGCAGCGCGTGCTGCGCGCCGAGCTGCGCCAGCAGCGACGATGCGCCGCGGCCCAACCCCATCACGCCGTCGACCGTCAGCGGGCCGTCTAAAAGATTGCCGGACTGGTTGAACCCGCACCCAAACGTCACGACCGGCCGGTACTTGGTGCCGCTCGCGGACGCGTTCGCGCCGCTTCTTTGAGTTTCATCCCCGCTATTAGCAGCCACGCTGCTTCCCTGCGCTTCATTCCCGTTACTAGCAGCCCCGCCGGCACCGCTCGCTGGGGCCGCGCGTTGAGCCGCCACTTCCTGCCCAATTCTCCGCGGCTCCACGATGTTGAGCTCGCCGGGGTTACCACTCTCGCCACTCTCGCCAGTCACCAGGTTACCACTCGTCCTCGCCACACCAGCCACTCCCCCTGCTCCCCCTCCCAAGGGCTCAGTGGCGGTCGACGGCAGGTCCCCGCTTCTCCCATTCCCCGCGGGCCCACTTTCTCCAGTCCCAACCCCCCCGGGTCCCACGGGTTGCTCGCTAGGGGTCCACGGCAGGTGCAGCACGTCGCGCATGAGCACGCCCACGGACGCGCTGCCGTCCGCGTAGCGCAGCATGTACAGGCACGTGGCGGCCGGCACGGCGGCCGCCGTCGCGACGGCCGGCGACGGGCAGCCGCGCAAGACGTTGTCGGAGAGGTGGTAGCGCGGGCATTCGCGCGTCGCGCACGGGAGGAGGTGATTGGAGGAGGATTGCGATGCGTTGAACGGCGGGTTCAACGGCTGGGGAATGGGAGCGAGGCGGAGATGTGGAAGTAGAGAGGGAGGAAGGGAGAGGGAGGGGTCAGTACCGATGAGGGGGAACGAGAGGGAAATTCGAGGGGAGAGGAAACTGCGAGGAAAAGTGCGTGTACTTAAATATTTAAGAGTGACTCGATTGCACGAATTATTCGATTCTCGGATAATGGCGTGCGGTGGCTTCAATGGCAAGCTGATCAGAAATTACTTTCAAGAAGCACGATCACGGCGCAAGCTATCGTGATTCGGCTCGAAATGGGATGCGGAGATGAGGGGGAATAGCGAGGTGTTGATTTATTAGGGGTTGACAGTACCGCTTGTTCCGCACGAGCTTTCCTCACACTAATGCATTTCACGGGTTTTAGTTTTTATTTTCAGCGCAACCACTATAACGAGCCCGCATGCGACTCTCACCGCGACTTGCGAGCGCGTGGCGCATTGAAGGCACGGCTGACATGCCACCCAGAGCAGGTCGCTGCCCGTGTCCACCTGCACGTTGAACAGCTGCGGCGGCGAGCCCAGCGCCACCGACGCGAAGTACAGCCTGGAAGAGAGGGAAGGGGCGGGGGCGTAGAGGAGGAGGGAAAGGGGACGGGAGATGGGTGGCCTTTTAGTCGCGTTTGATTCGCATCCGAGCAGGTCAAGCTCGCGTGTTGAACAGTTGCGGATGCGAGCTCAGAGACACCGACCCCGAAGTAACATGATGGGGACGGAGTGGGAAGGGGATGAAACAAACAGTCTTGTAAGGGCCCTAAAAAGAGGCCGAGTCTACAACGACCTTCTTAGTCGACCTTGCGGTCGCAGGTTCATGTTGCTACCTGCGGGTACATTTCTTAGTCGACTTTTGCGCTCACCCTGCTATCTGCGGGTCCGCGTTGCCGACGAGTCCAAACACGACTTCCTCGTCATCGTCTCCGCTCTGCAGCCGTCTGTTCCCGCGTCGAACGCGCCGCAAGTCGCGCTGCACGGCCGCCATGTGCACCTCCCATCGCACCGTAACGAGCCCGCCGCGCGCCTTTCCATGATGTGCTTCGGATTTGAATTTGTGCGTCAAAGGAAAAGCTAAGGGCTGGAGATGCCTACTTTCGAGAGGCCCGGAAAGATGTTCAGGTAAGTACAACCGGTTTCGACGATCCTGATTTTCAGAATTCGACGCGCCTATATCCACATTATCCAGTATGCTTTTTCCGGAGAAAAGGGAGGAGCTGAATTCTATGGCCGCTGCTGAAGTGGCGAGCAACGCGCATGCGAGGAGCAGCAGTACGAGAGCTGGCAAAGCCATGGAGAGATGCAAAGTCGAGAGTGGGTTGGCGCCATCAGCACTCAGTATCTGTCACACTGCCCGATGTAAGTATTTGCATGGCGACCAGCGTCGTTTGGTTTGTAAGTGACAGTCTCAACAACGACAAGTAACGACGGCGAATCTATACCGCGATTCGAGCAGATTACCGACGTGTTCCTCGAATATGTCGTTCATAAGCTTAGGAACTCGTAAGGTGTGACAGGATGACAGGTTTGGTGTGTGTTGATTCGGGGAGCCTAGCTGAAAAGCTTGGTGATGTACAAACCAAGGCGATCAAGCAAGGGAAGCTCGATTTCCTTGACACTATCCACAGCCTCGAATGCTCCGATGCGCGCCCTCGAAATCCACATTCGAGACTGCAATCGTCGCAGAACGACGACGAAAGTCGGCTATGGGGTCCATGCGACCCAGGGCATAAGCCATTTGCCCGTGCTTAGTGCTTCCGTGAAATTGGGTTGGTCCAATGAATGTCGTGGATGCGTCGCCCCTCGTCGTGAGACGCAGCTCACCCTCCCTATCAGCTTGTGCACTCTGCACGCGACGAGTGTCACGAAAAAGCTTCCAGCTGACTATGCGGCGAAGCTTGACTCACGACGACACAAGCTTTACGCGAAGGCCGCACGATTGGTTGCCCAGGGAAAACGCGACTCCAGGAGCTTTGAATTCAGTTGGACATTTTGAATGTGTCACATTCCCAAGTGCTGCTACATACATTGAATCTTTGCCTTCATATATATACTAAGGAGTGTATATATAATACGGTTTTATGACCAGCATTATGATTGAATGGATGTGATGTGAAGCTTGGTATACGTTACTAATGATGCAATATACCTTTTCTTGCTTGATTAAAAAATTTACAGACGAAGTAGAAAGAAATAATACGGTACCACCGTATGAGGTAAAAGTGTGTAAGGACAGAATGGATTCAGATTTCTATAACATTGCAAGAGCAGTGTAATGTAGAACAAAGCAAGCAATGGACAAGGGCTTTGCTTATTCTGATACTTGGGATCACCAAAAGCACTGCCTAAGGGAAGGGAGCACCTTCACTCCCTCCCATAATGCACCCCCAGAATCTTTATTCACGGCTCTTTTCACTTGTACTTAGTCCTCACCTCATTCTCTAATCTCCAGCTCTGACCAAGGGTGGGGATGAAGTTTATCCGACCAACTGAACCCGTTACTGTCTGGAGAACTGGCCACGCACGGCACCATCAGGGTACTTCTTGGTGTGGATGTTCCCGTAGAACGCGTTGGGGTGCTTTCCGATCTTGGTGAAAATCGCCACCTCCGATTTCGAGAGCCACTTGTCCTCCCACATGGCGCCCTCACACAGCCACTCGGAGGCGCTGGTCTGCTTGTACTTGCACGGCAGGTCGAGCAGCACGGGGTTGTTCTCGCCCTTCCTCCCCGGGTGGATGTGCGTCTTGGTGGGCGGCATCTCGCCCTCCAGCTTCGACGCCTTCACCGAATAGTCCACCCACATGAGCTCGCCCTCCTTCCTGACCACACGTGGCGCCATATATGTCAGGGGAGTGAGAAGAGGGAGTTAGAATCCGCTCCTATATATCGCAGGAGAGAGCGGCAGGGATTAAAGCCCATCTGTTCTCGGATTTGAAATTGGAAAGAAAACGTGCTCTTGGAGAAATGGGCTCACGTGTCGTATCACAGATGCAACGCGTGGCGTGGCGAGCTTACTTGTAGAAGTCGAGCTTCATTTGCACCACGCCGCTCTTGTCACCAACGGCCTTCCTGGCAGCTTCGGAGTCATTCTTGGGAACCTCGTTGGCGCCAATCAGCTTCGCCGTGAAGGTGTCTGTTGGGGTGAGAACGAACAAAAGGGTGAATTAAATATTTGAATCTTGGGAATTCAATACGAGGACGAAAGGTGAAGGGACATTGTGAGGGAATGGTCGGAATGGGGAAGGCGTGAAGCACTGACTGGTTAATTCGGGGTCGTCGTGGTCTGCGTAGGCAAACGCCACAAGCACCGCGACGAATGCTGCACGCACCGAAACATACGCGAGGGAAGCACGCGATCAGGTTAGCATGCAGCGGAAATGCGTCAATCGGGTGATTACGTGTCATCAGAACGAATCAAATCACCGAGATTTCGAATCGAAGTGCCAATGCACTTTGCACGGGTCAGCAAGCGGCCAGCAAATGATTTGCAGTACAGGGGTACTAATAACGCTCACCTAGGAATAAGACGCGGCGAGGCGAAGTGAAGGCCATAATTCGAAAGAGAGTTAACAAACTCGAATTGCAGGAGGAAATGGGTGGATTGCTTGAAGAGTGAAAGGCGGATTGTCGCTGAATGATTTTCTAGGGACTCGAACTATCCACTTTATAGTCACGTTGAGAGCCCGTAACTATGGATTGGGAAAGACCCGCCGTCATGGCTTGCCGGTGCAGGCGGTAAGCAGGAGTGACGGGTGTGACTCTCGACTCGGAGGTGCGCCGTTCCCGCATTGTATAATTGCGAAGCACTGAAGATTATGCGAGCTGACGGCAGAGAGTCGCGATTCGCCATTTTCCTGCCGTGTCTAGAATTGGGAATGAGTTTCCCCCACCCCACTACAATAATTGCCGCCCCCAGCGAGGGTCGTAGGTAGGGCAGTGAGTCAAGCGTTGCGCATCATCAAGGCAAATATAATTGAAGGCCATGATGAAAGGACCGCTAGTCATAGTAGTACACTTGTTTTAGATCATTATTGTAAACTGATTGCTTTCTAGTTGTCATGGATACCGTAACAGAATATTAGGATTGCCAAGCAGCTGTGACAAATGGAATTTGTTGATAATCTCATCCAAGTGTAATGATAATCATAGAACTTCATGAGCCTTGCCGTAATATCGGTTGATGTAGTGGGCCTGCACATAGATGAAAAATTTGGGAGCAACGAAGCACCCATTACGCGACCACAAAGGAGAAGTGGGGGAGAAATAAAGAGGATGGTAAGGAAGCAGATACTGAGAAAAAAATAAGCAAGCAGCGCCGACGGTGATACTAGTGGGGTGGGAGTTGAAACCACAGACCACATTCCGACACAAGCCATTTCAAAGAAATTATTGAACATCACCAACGGCGTGAGCTTTTAGTAGAACCATGGTGCACTGGACACCATCAGCAGACAAAGACCACGTAATGCAGACACGCCACATGGACAGTCATATGTGGTACCTTGAACTCGGAAATATCGGGTGTGTCGTCGCTCTGCTTGGGGTAGAACTTGAGGAACCTGAGGTTCTTGAGTGCTTCCAGCCGCTCCTCCCCCATGTCCTCTATCGCCTTCTTGCGCTCCTCCCGCTCCTGACGCAACATGGGTTGAATCAGGTGAAGGAGAAATGAAGTCGAGTTAGCTGAACGCGGGTTGCACCACAGGGAAGGGACGAGGAAGTCAATAGATCGATCAGGAATGCCATCGCCCCGACAAGAATTCAAAAAGACAGAGAAGACCCAGCCGAACAGAACTTCGGAGGCCAAGCCATACCATTCGGCTGAAACACAGCATCGCAGTTTTATGACCTGCTTTGACAGCCTCTTCAGAACACCCAGAAACAACACAGATGTGCTTGGCATGAGGTAACCGTACATCCCATCATCTACTACGTTCATCTAGTACCAGTCGATTCAGTTATCATGTTGTTTTCCACTTACCCCAACACATCATGTATTTCTCACCTTCTTTGCCTTAAGCTTGGCCTCTTTCACCTCTTTCTTCACATACTCCTGCAGAGATGCGATGCACCCACAGTTGACAGAGAACGGCAAGGAAGAGAGGACCAACAGTTGAAAACGACATGGGAGAAAGAAGATGGTCTGTTTAGGCCTGGACCTTTTCAGCTGCTTCTTCACGTACTTGTGGCACAAAAAATCAAGTTGCAAACACTAAGATGAGCGGCGCCGGTAGACAGATGTAGAGTGCTTCCTTTGCAGACGGCAGACATGGCAGACAGGCGCATGTGCATGTGGACATGCATGAATGCATGGCATGACATGGTATGGTGTGGTATGGTATGGTATGGTATGGTATGGTACGGTACGGCATGGTATGGTAAGGCATGGTAAGGTAGGGTATGGTATGGTACGGCATGGTATGGTATGGTATGGTATGGTATGGTATGGTATGGTATGGTATGGTATGGTATGGTATGGTATGGTATGGTACGGTACGGTACGGTATGGCATGGTATGCACAGTGGTGGGAGCACTGACAATGAACTTGGGCTTCTCGGCTTCTGGTAGCGACTCGTCCTTGACCAGGTTGTCTGTGAACTCCTGTGCCGGGCAGGCAGGCACGGATGGAGGAGTGTGGAACGAGGGGGGTGGCGGGAGGAGGGTGAGGGGACGAGATGGTGGAGGGAGGGGGAAGGAGGGAGGAGGGAGGAGGGAGGGAAGAGGGAGGAGGAAGGAGGATGGTGAATGTACGGAGAAGGCAGCTGCTGGTCTTCCACGACCATTCGAGGTAAATACCACCACCCTCAGCACCGAGGTCAGTCTCACATACTATCCCTCTCTCTCACATACTATCCCTCTCTCTCACATACTATCCCTCTCTCTCACATACTATCCCTCTCTATCACATGCTATCCCTCTCTCTCACATACTATCCCTCTCTCTCACATACTATCCCTCTCTCTCACATACTATCCCTCTCTCTCACATACTATCCCTCTCTCTCACATACTGTCCCTCTCTCTCACACACACCCACACGCCTCTTCCCCCCCAACACCACAACTCCCTTCCCCCCCCCAACACCCACCTACCCCCACACCCGCACACACGCACACACAGCCTAAGCCACAAGCAAACAAACCCTCTCACCTCGTACTCGTCCATCTCCCAGTCATACTCCGCCAGCAACTGCCAGGGGGTGGGCGAGAGTGTGCGAGACAGAGAGTGTGCGAGACAGGGAGTGTAAGAGAGTGTGCGAGACAGGGAGTGTAAGAGAGTGTGCGAGACAGGGAGTGTAAGGGAGTGTGCGAGACAGGGCAATGCAGGGAGGGGCGGGGAGAAGAAGATGACAGAGAGAAGCAGGGAGTAGATTTGTGAGAGAGAGAGGAGGAAGAAAACCCACAGAAAAGCAAGTAACCAGTGCAGAGCTCAAATGCCCACACAACGTCCTTTGAGTAATCTCCGGAGAGGAGCAGAATTGGCTCACTCCCAAGGGCAAACGAAAGAGGAGGGAGGTGGTTACCGGGGGAGGTGGGTTGTCGCCTTCAAAGGGATACATGATGGACACCACCGTGTCCACCTCCTGCTCCTCCTGCATGTGCGGTAGGAATATGTCTGATGGCGTGCGGGCGAGCACGCGTGATGGGAGGGGGGGGAACGGTGGGTTTGGGGGAGAAGACAGGGTGGGACGACTGTGTCCGCCTCCTGCTCCTCCTGCATGTGCAGTAGGAATATGTCTGATGGAGTGCGGGCGAGGACGCGTGGAGGGGTGGGGGGGTTAGTGGAGAGCAGCTATGTGGGCATATACGCTCTGGACAGCGAGCGTCCAGCGTATATGCGCTAGCGTCCGTACGCTGGACGCTAGACGCTCGTCGGACGCTGGACGCTCGGCCAAAATTTTTTGGGGCAGCCCGGGAAGAAAAATTGACCATCGAAATTTGAAATCGCGATTTCCAATCGAAATTTGAAATCGCGATTTCAGAGCTGGATCTCAAGCGCCAAAACTGAACCAGATCCATCACAATTTCAGAGGCCACCGCACTTCACCCCTTCTTATCTAGCCAACCCAACCCCCCCGTCACGTTCCTAAATAGTCGAGCATCACAATTCCTTCCTCACAATTGCGTTCATTTCTAGCATTTCTCACCTTCTCCAGCAGGCATCCATGGCGGAACCTAGTACCTCAAATGCTGCTGGCGCTCCCAACTCACAGTCCGTGCAGGGCTCGTTTAGCGCTGGTCGTGTGTACGAAGATGATGAAGTTAAGCACCCTACGTTTAAACACTATGACACATTTACGAAGGCGGGCGTCAAGGGAAAGCAAGTGGAGTGCCGATTCTGCAAGCACACTTTCGCCCACAGCCATAGCCGTTGCGCTAGTCACCTTGCGGAGTGGCCGGGTCAGGGACGACGCGTAGTGAAGCTCTGCACTGCCGTTCCTAAGGAGGTCGCCGACGCAATAAGCAATGCGGCCATCACGAAAACTAACGCGCGGGACGACAAGGCGCGGGCTGAGAATATCGCTGTTGAATCGGTGACTGGGCGGCCTGCAGTGAAGCGGACGCTTACGGACTTCTATGGCGACGATGCTGCTGAGAAGAAGGCCGCGGCTGATGAGTCTGTTTGCCTTTGCGTCGCCGCTCTCCGCATCCCGGAGCGCACCGTGGAGCACCCGCTGTTTCGCCACATGGTGCAGTCCATAGCTGCCGCTGGAATCAACTACGTGCCACCCAAGAGGCGCTACGTGGGGGGGGCTGGACTGCAGCGCTGCCGGAAGATGATTGAGGGTGCGTTGTCTCCAGTGGAAGACAGCTGGAAGCGACTTGGCGTCACTATAGCCAGTGACATGATGACCGATGTGGCAGGCCGGGCGCAAGCGAACATAATGCTCATCAACGACTTTGGCGCGGTCTTCCTTGAGAGCGTCGATTGCGACATGCAGAAGAAAACGGGGACTTACATTGCAGGCATGCTGAAACCGGTGGTGGAGAAGGTTGGGCCGAACAATGTCGTGGCGTTCTGCACTGACGGTGGGAGCAACTACGCCAAGGCTGGCCGCAAGTTGCTGGAGGAATGGCCGCACATCGAGCATGTGCCGTGCGCCACTCACGTCCTCGATTTGATGATGGAAGACTTCGGGAAGCTCACATGGGCTAAGACGGTGGTGGAGAGGACGGATAAGATGAACACGTTTATCCGCAACCATCACATGACGCGGGCCTTCTTGAGGAACCCGGCAAACCATGGTGGGAAGGGGCTGCAGGCATTGAAACCTGCTGGCACTCGTTTCGGGACACATTACATTTCCGTGTCCCGCTTGTGTGAGTTGCGCGCAAACCTGACGACGATGGTCTGTGACGATGTGTGGGAGGAATGGGCAGTGGGGAAGGTGAAGGAGAGTGCGGATGTGTTCAAAGGGTAAGTCCTTGATCCGGCGTGGTGGACAACCGCCGAATTCTTTTGCAAATTGATGAAGCTGCCCTTTTTGGTGATGAGACAGACGGACTCCGCGAAGAAGGGGATGATGGGCCGTATTCATGATCTTATGCTGCAGCTGACCGAGGACATTAACAAGGTCCTGGAAGAGGATGAAAAGCAGTTGAGCCAAAAGGACAAGAAGGATATTGCCCGCATTGTGAAGGAACGATGGGATGGGAGCCTCGCATGCGCGCTCGACGTGGCTGGTCGGATTCTAAATCCGGCCAACCAAACTGAGGGAATATTCGGGAAGGATGCAGAGTGCACTCGGGCCATGAAGGGCTGGATGGGGCGCGCGGTTGAGTTCTTGGATGCTGCTGGGGAGGAGGGGGCGGATACAATCATAGAGGGTCTGATGGCATATGTGGATGGTGTGGGGAGCTTTGGGATGCCCCTGGCAAAGGCATATCGGGCAAAGGTGAAGGAGGGGAAGATGGACATGGAGATGTGGTGGGCTTGGAACGGAACCGATAACGTGGCTCTCGCGACACTGGCGCGTCGTGTGCTTGCCCAACCCGTTTCCGCATCCCCTTGCGAGCGGGGCTGGTCCACCTGGGATTCCGTGCACACGGCGCGGCGCAACAGGCTGGGTTTTGTGAAATGTCGCGACCTGGTCTATGTAGCCCACAACTGGAATGTGGTGCGGAAGTGGAGCAGGGATTCGGTCGCGGGCAGGGCAATCGTGTCAGGGAACATCCCTGAAGCCCCGATCCCAGAGGGTTACAACGTACCTGAGGAGGGTGAAGACGAAGAGGAGGGGGAGGATGAGGCGGATAGGAAGGTGTTTGCGGATGAGTATCAGTAGATGGCCGAAAGTGTGTGTGTAGAAATATTTATTTGGATAAATCTGTTTTTTTTTTTTTTGTTATGACATTTTCTCTGGAAATGTATGGTGTTGTGGCGGGTACCCCCCTTTCCCCCCTCTCCCCCCTCTTTTTTTTCCCCCTGCCCGGAAATTTTTTTCCCCTGCCCGGCCCAAGCGTCCAGGTCCTGACATCCGAGCGTCCAGCGTATATACGCCAGCGTCTGGACGCCAGCGTATATACGCCAGCGTCTGGACGCTGGCGTATAGGACGCTGGACGCGTCCATGTCCACATAGGAGAGCAGGAGGTGGAGGGAGGGGTGGGTTTGGGGGAGAGGACAGAGTGGGACGACTGTGCCCCCCTCCTGCTCCTCCTGCATGTGCCGTAGGACGATGTGTGATGGGGTGACGGGGGAGGCACGAGGGAAGGGAGGAGGCAAGGTTGGAGAGGGGTGGAGGGGGAGGGGAGGAGGGGGAGAGGGGAGATAAAAGAATGACTGGGGCGACCATGCCCACCCACATCCTGCTGGCCCCTCCTGCATGTGCTGTGCGGGGAGGAAGTTGTCTGGCGGGAGGCGGGGAGGGAAGGAAGAGTGGAAAAAGGAGGGGAGTGAGGGAGGGGAGAGAACAAAGACTGATGGGTTTACATGAGAGATACGAGCGTGTCCGCGTCGTGCTCCTCCCGCATGTGGGGGAGGAAGATTCCTGGTGGGGGAGGAAGATGCCTGGTGGGGGAGGAAGATGCCTGGTGGGGGAGGAAGGAGTGCAGGCCTACGGGCAGTACAGAAGAGCCAGAGAACGACCGAGTGTACTTGCAGAGAGCAACACGCGGTAATTTGAGATCAAGCATGCATACATGCCACTCCAGATAGCAACCATGCGATAACCACAAGGTTACCTTCACGGGTATACATGCAAAAGGCGGATGACAAACGTGTGGTAACCAGGCAAGCATGGTGCACACATCATGCAGCACACAGCATGCAGCACACATCATGGCACGTACATGGTAAGCAGTACTCGAACTTCTTCACCCGCTCTTGCTTCATCTGCCTCAACCCCGCCCTGCCGCACACAGCATGCAGCACACAAACGGAACAGTGAGACAGCACTGCTCATAAACAAACACTTGGCAAGATGAGCTAAATCTCAGCTGCTGAAAAAACATTCTCAACAATCATCAGTCATACATTTCATAACTCATAAACATCATGGCTCATAAATCTCCCAAGCACGTAAGAAGGGGGGAGCTGACCTGCGTTGTATGCACTTGAGAGTGAAGATGTTCGACCGGTGCCGCCTGAGGTCCGACCCTCGGCTGCACACGATCACACAAGGGATGACACAAGGGATGACACAAGGAATGACACAAGGGATGACACACGGGATGACACACGGGATGGCACACGGGATGGCACATGGAATGGCACATGGGATGGCACAATGGGATGGCACAATGGGATGGCACAATGGGATGGCACATGATCGGTTTAAGATCAGAAGAAACACATGAAAAGGAGAGGATGGTGGTGGTGGCTGCTGGCACCATCTCTGTCTCTCATCCCTGCCTCCCTTCCCACTTTACATGACCCTTCATTCAATCTAATCACACTCACCGATCGCATCGGCATGATCATCTCATCTCTGTCTCTCAAGACCCTAACCTTTCCTCCCTTCAAGCTTTGCCACACTCGCCCATCGCCCCCCTCCCTGTGATCACACCCACCCAGTAGTATCGGGTATGTAGGGGATCCAGTCCATCTTCATCTCGCGCATCGGCACGATCATCTCTGTCTCCATCTGCACTGACTTGATGCCCAGCTTGTCTGACGGGGCGAATGGTGATAACACCTGGTGGAGAGCGGTGGAGAGCGGTGAAAAGAGGTGGGATGGGATGCAGTTGATAATCAGTAGGCACGATCGTCTCTCCATCTGCACTGACTTGATGCCCAGCTTGCCCGACGGGGCGAACGGCGGCAGCACCTGGTGGGGAGTGACTAGGACAGATGGGAAGTGGTAGAAGGAGGTGGAGTTTGATTGATAAGCGGTCGGTGAAAACCCTCCCTCTCTCTCCATTCAAATTGGCTTGAATGCTAACTTAATGCAATGCAACGTAAGAGAGAATGGGAAGGGGGTGGGGAGGTGAGGGAGGAACGGAAGAGTGAGACACGGGGTAGCAGGGAGGTTGGGAGGGCGGGGGGCGGGGGGCGTGACCATGCATGTACTTCAAATGTTGCGGGCAGTTAAACACACAACCAGAAATTCCAACCCACAACCTCGAAGCGAAACCCTTACTTCAGACTCAGACCATGTAAAAAGGTCTGAAAACACGTCGTGTACACGAACCTGAACCCAAAACCCAAGCAAGCCTAACCAAAAACCTGAAATCCTGTACCCCTCTCTACGGCTGATTTTTATTTTGAGCCTCAAGCTCAAGCAATGCACATACCGCGACGACTGTTGGCACATGCACGACCTTGTCCTTGCCCTTCCAGTGCACCTTGATTGCATACCATACACCCCTATGGCACTTTCATACGCTCATATCATACGACCATGATGCATGCATGCATGCACGTACCGCCACGACAGCTGGCACGTGCACCACCTTGTCCTTGCCCTTCCAGTGCACCAGCTGCGCTGCAAGCGGGACAGGACAGGGTAGCAGGATGGTGGATGGGATGGGATCATGCAGGGGCGGAGGGTTTATGGAGAGCTGTGTAGCTGACTGATAAGTCGCGAATAGAGATATGCTTTGTGAAAACAAAAAACGGAGCACGAAACGAATTGGAGGTGTACGTGGGAGAAAGGGAGATTGAGCACCACGGAGTCCTTCTGTCCTTCATAATTGTGTTCTGATTTCTGGCATTAATGAAATCTTATCTTGAGATGTTACCACGTCCAGGACCAAGTTCAATCATACTGCTACGAGCCTTTCAGGTTCCATTGGGCTTGGGCCATTTGAACTCACGCTCTGTGCACCCAAAGAGGTAGACGCGCTTGTCGTGCAGCGGGCCGCCCTCATCAAACGCCTCCTGCACACATCCGAGATGAGTCACGTGGGCACGGCAGGAGACACAGGGAAAGGGGGAAGCAGGATGTGAGTGTGTGTGCTCGCTTGTTGGGGCGAACCCCTGGGTTGTGGAGAAGCGTGGTACGGGGAGGGCGGGAGACAAGGGGAGGAAGACGACGGAGAGAGGGGGAAACAGGGAGAACCATGGCTGCCTTGTTTTCAGGGCTGCACCCGAAGCCTCAACGAGTATTACGCAATAAAGTGACACGAAAAGGATACACGGATGGGACGGCTGATGTGAGCGTGAGTGGGAAGGCTCGCTTCTCAAGAATGTGATCGTCGGCCTTCCCACTGAGGATTGTGGCCAGGAATCGGCACAGGGTGAGGCGAGCGAGAGATTGTACTTATATAGAGACAGCTGATAGAGAGAAAGCTGATAGAGAGAGCTGCAATGTGTGTGCTTACATCAAGGTTTGAGAAGTCCCACTCAATCTCGTACACTTTGTCGTATTGGTCCCACTGGCAGAGAGAGTGCGAAGAAAAGAGGTGGACGGGGATAGGGGAGGCGTGGGGGACAGGAAGAGGAGGGGGGGACAAAATGCGTTGGAAGACGGCGGTTGGTCGAAGCGTATAGGCTTTCCATTGCATCATGCGTGTGAAATTAATTCCATAAGGAAGAACTGCAGGATAATCATTGGTCAAGGCAAGACGAGCAGAGAGAAGTAGTTAGCCTTATTAATGGGACTTCTATCAGGGCCCTTAGCCTAGAAAACCCATTTCCGCATAAGCTTCTGAGATTCTGAGTTGGTGAAAACGGGATAAAGGACGATCAAAGACGTGCTATTAGGAAGAAAAGGGACGAATCACAGACGTGCTTAACAGGTGTGCAGCGTTGAAGCTTGCAGACTGGGTTGGGAAAGTGAGTGTGGATTTTCAAGCTCCAAAAGGCAGTGGATAAGGTGTGCCATAAAGAAGAAGGATGAGAAGCAAGTGAGCGAAGGTGAGGTGAAGCAAAGCAGGAAACGGATGGCATGGGTACCTCCGTGCCGACCGGAAATGCTTCCTTCCAAATGTCTTCCTGAAAGACGGCATGATGATGGCAGGAAGGAGTTAGGCAAAGCCAAGAGATTTAAGACGAAGACGGTCGAAAGCGCGTGGATCGGCTGACATGAGCAAGAAAGCGAGAGCGAAATTGAACGACAGACAACGAACGATCGGCGACGAACGGCCGGGAACGAACGACCGAGAACGAACGACCGGCAATGTACGACCGACATTAAACGACCAGCATTTCGGCACCGAAGGACCGGCATACAGTGAGCAACTATAGAAGGAGAGAGGCGCAATGGCAGAAGCAAGGGAACATTGCAGATTTGCGGCACTAGAGGGTGGGCGAAACGAAGGGGGAGCTCACCATCTCTGCCATTGATGCCCACCGAACCCACGATCACGAGCGCGCGCTACACAACGGTTTTGCGGAAGCGTCGATGTACGAACGCGGCGAAGGCGAGACACACGCTTCCGGCCAGAATGCCGCTCGATCGCACACGAAAAGGCTTGAACTTGATCTATGAACGAGCTCGATACAGCCTAGGCTTTGAACGGGACTCCCTGACACACAGCCTTGTAGGACAGAGCGAAACCTGTAAAACATCTCCCGAAACCCATGACAACCGAAACTGATACGGTATCGCAAAATTGCAGGTTTCACCCTGAACCCGATGCTGAAACCGCCGCTTTCTGAGATAAATGCAAATAGATACAAGGCTTTATATGATTACAAGGAATATGAAAGATTTAACTGTAACTGCTATTGCGGTTCGATACAACGACGACTCAGGTAACTGCTCAATAGCGAGTCAGTTATGTGTCCTTGCTGTCGCGCTGTTTTTCGGCGAGTCAAAGGTCGCTGACCTTTGACCTTCACTTAACCTCTTGCTGTTGTCTTTCTGTCAACCGCTTTGGTTGACTCGCTATTACTTAGTTGTAGTTCGCTTCGCTTACGTGTCAGAATGTTATAGTGCTTACTTTGTGTAGGCTATAGTGGGGTAGCCATAAGGGGTACAACCCAATTAGGGTTAGTACTTGTACCCAACTTCTCTTCAATGCATTCATTCTCGTTCTAGTTTCTAACATGGTTTCAGAGCAGGTCCTTCCTTAGGACCGCATTTTTTTAGGGCCCACCACAGAGCTGCCCCACGAACTGCCCTGCTGCCCTGCCCTAAAGGCCCATCGCCCCTAGCAGCCCGTCGTGTCGCCCCTAGCAGCTCGTCGCGCCGCCCTTAGCAGCCCACGAGCTGCCCCTGCAGCTAGCGCACTGCCCCTGCAGCCCGCTTGCCACTGCTCACGGCCCGCCCGCCGCCCCTAGGCTCGCTAGCCGCCCTTGTGGCCCGCTCGCCGCCCTTGCAGCCCGCCTGCCGCCCCTAGGCCCGCTAGCCACCCTTGCGGCCCGCTCGCCGCCCTTGCGGCCCGCTCGTCGCCCGTGCGACCCGCTCGCCGCTTGCTCGCGGTCCGCTAGCCGCCCCTGCAGCCCGCTTGCTGCCAGCTTGCGGCCCGCTACGCCGCCCCTGCCGCCCGCTTGCCGCTTGCTCACGGCCCGCTCGCCGCCCCTGCTGCCCGCTCGCCGCTTGCCTGCGGCCCGCTCGCCGCCCCTGCAGCCCGCTTGCTGCCTGCCGGCGGCCCGCTCGCCGCCCTTGCAGCCCGCCAGCCGCCCGCATACGGCCCCCTCGCAGCCCCTGCAGCCCGCTCGCTGCCCTCTTGCGGGTCGCGCGCCGCCCCTTGCAGCCCGCTCGCCGCCCCTTGCGGCCTGCTCGCCGCCCCTGCAGCCTGCGCGCCGCCCCTTGCAGCCCGCTCGCCGCCCCTTGCGGCCCGCTCGCCGCCCCTTGCAGCATGCGCACTGCCCTCTGGCAGCCCGCTCGCCGCGCCTTTGCTGCCCGCCCTGCTGCTTGCACCGCCCGGCTCCTGCCCGCCCTGCTGCTGGCCACCCTAGCCGTGCGCCGCCCTGCCCTGCCTGCGTGCTGCTCTGCTGGTAGCGCGCCACCCTGCTCTGCCCGCTATGGCTTCTCTCCGTGTACTCACGTTCGATCATGAGGGCCGTCCGATCCAGTTCGACACGTGGCTCGACGACTTACAGCTGTACCTACTGAGCGACTCTAGAGACAGCGTTTTGTTTTTTGACCACACGTCTGGAGCGTCTCTCGCCCCTCCCGCCACAACTGACAGTGCGACTCGCTCACAGTGGCTTACCCGTGACGCTGCTGCTCGCTTAGCCATTCGCAACCACCTGCCGTTAGCCGAATGCGCTCACTTCGGACAGCACAAGACTGCTAAAGCACTGTACGACGCTGTAGTCGCTCGTTACTCCTCCCCTGCCACTGCCGCTCTAGGCCGTCTCATACTGCCCTACCTGTTTCCCGAGCTGTCCGCCTTTGCCACAGTAGAGGACCTCTTTACCCACCTTTGCACTAGCGACGCTCGCTACCGCGCTGCCCTCCCGGCAGAGTTCCTTGACAGGAACCCGCCCCCGATGTACATCACTCTCTACTTTATAGTCACCCGCCTCCCTGACTCTCTTCGCGCTATCAGGGACCACTTTCTAGCACTTGACCTCACAGACCTCACTGTCGACCTGCTCAAGCAGCACCTCCTTGCAGCTGAGACTAGCGTAGTCTGCATGTAGTTCTAGATGTAGTGTAGTTATATCGCTGTTCTGCTTTTGGTGCACCCCCCTCCTTACTTGTCTCTTGTATAACTTGGGCCTTTGGCCCTTTAGTGAATCATTCTTTCTTGATTTTCTCCTTGTCCAACTCTCTCGACACTCAACCCTAGCATGGCTCCTATGGATGCTCACATACCCTCCTAGCTATTCTTCTAACATGGTATTAGAGTGGTTACGACCCAATTGGCCCACCGTTTTTTAATCCTCGCATGGCGTCCGCCTCGCTGGCTCCCATCGTTTTTTTTCTGCTAGTCGCACGCCCCGGGTATGCGCCGGTTTTTGCCCGCCACACCCCCCGGGCGTGCGTCGGTTTCTGCCCGTCGCACGCCCCGGGCGTGCGTTGGTTTCTGCCCGTCGCGCACCCCCAGCACGCGGCGGTGTTCTGCCCGTCGCTCACCCCCAGCGTGCGACGGTTTTCTGCCCGTCGCGCGGGGGCCCCGCTGCCCTGCTTCCCGTCGTCCCCCCCGCCCACTTCCTTCTCCCTCTCCTACTTCGCGTGCAGCAGTTTGGGCGGGGGGAGGGGGGGGGGGAGGGTGTTGGGGGGACGCAAGAGTGGTGTTGGGGGGGGGTTGCACCTCCAGTGCCCCGCTGCTCTGCTTCGTAACCAAGCCAGCAGCCCCCCCCCCCCCCCCCATTCTTCTCCATCCCCCTGCTGCCCGTGCAGCAGTGGGGGGAGGGTATCCCGTCGCGCGCCCTGCTGTAGCCCGAGCAGCTCCCACACCGCCCCCCCAGCCCCCCTTTCTCCTCCATCCCCCTGCTGCGCGTGCAGCAGTGGGGGGGAGGGTATGGGGGTGGCGGGTGTGAGTAGTCAGCCGCCCACCACCTCCTCCTCTCTCTCCCTGCCGCACTTGTCGCTGTGTCGGGAGAAGGGGGGGAGCTTGGAGGTTAAGGGGGTGGCAGGAAGGGATCTGCAGCACCAGCCCCCCCGCCCCCCCCCTTCTCCTCCATCCCCCTGCTGCGGGTGCAGCAGTGGGGGGGAGGGGATCTGCAGCACCAGCCCCCCCGCCCCCCCTTCTCCTCCATCCCTCTGCTGCGGGTGCAGCAGTGGGGGGGAGGGGATATGCAGCACCAGCCCCCCCTTCTCCTCCACCCCCCTGCTGCGGGTGCAGCAGTGGGGGGAGGGGATCTGCAGCACCAGCCCCCCCGCCCCCCCCTTCTCCTCCATCCCTCTGCTGCGGGTGCAGCAGTGGGAGGAGGGGATCTGCAGAACCAGCCCCCCCGCCCTCCCCCTTCTCCTCCATCCCCTTGCTGCGGGTGCAGCAGTGGGGGGGAGGGTATACAGGTGGCGGGTGTGAGTGAACTGCTGCCGCCTCTCCTCCTCTCTCTCCCACTGCTGCACATGCCGCTGTGGGGGGGGGGGGAGATGAGGGAGTGGCGGTAGGGATGCTGAGGCCTTGCACACCTTTACTCTTCACTCAGGTGCTTCACGCTGTTTCTTTCGCGACAGCACCACCCTCACTCCTCTCTCAGCACCTGTACCGGAGAGACTGGCTGACCCCTCCGAGGGCCCAGTCCTTGCCCGTTCCTCCACTGTTCTCCCGTGTCCGGCAGTTCTGTCCGGCTCACTGTCAGGCCTTCACCTCCCCTCGTTCTCTATGAACTTGGTGAGTACCGCTACCCTGCAGGACGCGATGGTCACTACCACCACTCCTGGGGGTCAGCGTGTGTCGATCTGCACGTGTAGACGGACGGGCCGCCACCTGGCCACATTCACTCGTCGGCCTGGGTCGAGTCTGTACACACTGGCTAATGAGCCTCCCCAGGTAGCTGCGTCTGCCCAGGTGTCCGCGTCAGGTCCGGTAGCACCCCCTTGCTCGTGTCGCCTGCTGTCGCACCAGACTCTCCTGCGGCACCACCGCCTTGGTTAACCCTCCCTGCCACGCCTTTGTGGCATGCACTCCCGCCTCCTTGTCTCTGGTCTTCCCAGGTCTCTGCCTCCCCTCCCGCCCTTGCCTGCCCCGCCCTGCCTTCCTTGCGTCGAGGGGCGGCAGCGCGCCGCTCCTCACTCCTCCTTGTTTCCCCCGACGTCTGCTCCCCTGTAGACTCTCCACATGGACGTGTGGGGCCCAGCACGCGTCAGTGGACAGGGCCGCGAGCGCTACTTTCTGCTGGTTGTTGACGACTACACGCGGTACACCACTGTCTTCCCCTTGCGCAGCAAGGGTCAGGTCCCTGATGTCTTGATCCCTTGGATCCGCGCAGTCCGTCTCCAGCTCCGCGAGCGGTTCTGCCAGGACCTTCCTGTCTTGCGTCTGCACTCTGACAGAGGTGGTGAGTTCTCCTCCGACCTCTTGCGGGACTTTTGTCGTGGGGAGGGCATTCTCCAGTCGTTCACGCTTCCGGACTCCCCTCAGCAAAAT